ATTTCCCCGGGATATTTAGGAGGTCACAGCCCTGCCCTGAGCACCCCACACATGGCAGGAGCAGCCAGACCGGGCACAGCCCACTGTGCCCCCTCCTGCCTCCCTGCAGCGGCGCAGATACAGGCAGAAAGACAGCATTTATGCACTGCAGAAAGGCAGCAGGCTCAGCCATAGCTGAGCCCTAACACTCTGTACCTATCCTTATTTTGGAAACGCTACGTAGCTCCTGCGGATGAGGAACCCACAGCACCAGCCAGTGGGTCCTTCCAGCAGCGGCTCCAGAAGAGCCGCAGACTCCGGCAGTGCCTTAGTCCCTCCACCACAGCACTGAAACACTATTGCCACACTGGCAGGTTTTATTGGCTTGATTAACTTAATTGAAATAGTTTCTTATTCCATGCCTTTTTATTATTATTATTATTAGCTTGGATGAATGCTTCGTAAATAAAACCATCATGACCAGAGTGATGCTCCTAAGGCCTCAGTCCGTGTCTGTACGGCCACAAGAGCAGTGAGCAGGGCCAGCAGCCGCTCCCGCAGCACCCAGGCACGGCCCCGGCACCCGGGCGGGCCGGCGGCAGCACCCAAGCAGGCAGCTAGCACGCACCTACAGTTGGTCAGGCTTTGGTCTCCACTTTCACCCAAGGGACAGCTCAGCACCTGCTTTGATAGCTCACAGGACAGAGCAATCCCCTGCTCCTATTGCCCAGACACTTCCCCCAACCCCTTTTGCAAGAATACCTGAAACACCGTGGGTTTGAAGAAGCGGCTTTACGTTTCAGACGCGCAGTCCCAGCCACGGCAGCATCCATTCAAGTTTTGCACACCAAGATGAAATGCCTTTCTAGCCTGGTACCACACTCTCTCAATAAATTGAGCATAATCCTCTGTCACCTCCTAGAGATGTGATGGTGATGGAGCCATTGGCCTCCACACGGCGCTCAGCTGCTGTGACATGCCTGCTGTAGATGAACGGGACATGGAAGATGGAAGCAGCATGCAGAACAGCTGGGGAGGTCAATCACTACCAGCCCCAAAACTGGGATCTTTAAGAGCAGGTGAAGGAAGCAAGTTGCCCCAGAAACCCCATGCTCCTCCAAACTCACCAGTATCTGCAACTTTTGATACAGAAAATAATATTCCCTCAGGAAGGCACCCCTGCACCGGCAAGGCTGGCATCGGCCCCCACAGACACGACAGCAACTGCCCATCTCCCTCATCTTCCCAGACATGACTGAAAATTAAAGCAAATTAAATTATCCCTCTGAAGTGGCGACGGCTGCTGGAGCAGAGCGGGCTGCAAACACATGCTGAACGGGCACTGGCTGGCTCTGGCGGTTTGCTACTGGGAAATGAAACTTTGCGGAGAGCCCAAGAATGGGCTTTTGGTACAGCAGCTATCCCCTTACCTGCTGTGCCCTGGTCACAGCGTAGCACTCGCATTTGCTATGTCTGGGGGTGTAAATCAATATGCATCACTGTGTGCTCCCTGACAGACGGGTTACACAGTTATCTCTCCGACTGTATTTATTAACCACTTAAATATCATGCAAAGTGCTTTCACAGACTGATGTGAACCCAGCCAGTCAGTGCACAACCCTCATTACCTTCAGGGGCTTGGGATGGGGACTAGGCAGGGAAGCTGATCTCTTATCTCCCTCCTTTTCTGCAACTCTTCCTTTTTTCTTCTCTTTTCTTTTATGGTTTTAATTATGTACCCTGAAGGAGCAGAGCTAAATCTATACAACTCTAGGGACTTCACATTTGCAGCACAGTAACCAAATCCACTAATAGCTCACAGAGAGGGACAGCAAAGATGCCCAAGAAAATAAAATCCTGCAGCCTATGGGTCTTTTGATAGCAATGTAGAAGCACAGGCAGTGATCCTTCATTGTCCTCACGCTACTGGGGGAAGAAGCATCCTTTCTGCACCACCCGTCACCCGAAATCCTATCAAAGCTAAACAGCAGCAACTTACACGTCTCTGCATCTGTGTGACTTCACGGGGAGCCGGCCTTCTGCCCCCCAGGAGCCACAAAATCCGTACTGTGAAATATGAGGCAGGTTTGCAGGCGATACCATACTTTTGTGCAAACAAGCATCCTCATCATCATCTTCTCTCCTTGCTCCTAAATTTGCTTATTCCTCACTCAGAAGGTTCCAAAGATAGAAAGTTAAAAATTACATAAATAAATGCAAACTGTTCTTCTCTTCTAAGAGCGTTGGGAAGTTTCTCCTAGCAGCCAGCCTAAATCTTTGCTGCAAGCTAAGCTGATTCCTTCTCGGGTGATTTCACACCTTATTTCCAGGGCTCCCACCAGGGAGGCTGCAAAGAAAGGCAGCAGCTGGCACAGGAGAGAGGGAGAAAGGAGAGAAGGCTGGACACAGATGGTAGAAAAGTAGATCAACTTCTCAGGGCAAGCGCATTGCCGACGGCCCCGTGTCGTGCTGGGCAGCGTGGCAGGGCATCAGTGTGGGTGGGAAGCAAAAGGGACACTGCAGTAGCAGGGGGAGACCCCAGCCACAGTGACTTTGTCGGGGGCTCGGTGTTACCTCCTCTGTCCCCATGGTGTCACTGGAATTAAATCTATTTTACAGATGGAAAACCTGAAATAAGGAGACCTACAGAGCTCGTATCCGAACCCTTGCCCGACCCAGGCTGGAAGCAAAAACCCTTCAGTTCGCCTGGTGCCCACGTGAAACTGCTGCCGGGAGGAATGTCACGGCGGGGTTTGATGGTGCTTTAGCTATACTGCCACCAGCTTTCTCACTTCCTACTTCACCTATTTTTTTTTTCCTATATTCCTCTCCCCGGATTCAGCCTGTACTTTAAGCAACATGTGAAAGCCATCTATAGTCATTTCTCGACCAGACAAGCCCAAGGTGGGTTTGGCAGGGAGGGGCGGCAGATGCGGTCTGAGGCGCAGGCAGGCTGGCGCAGGCAGCGAGGCTCCGCAGGGCAGCCCCGCTCCCGCCCTGCTCCCTCACCCCACGCTTTGTCAGCGACTCAAAAGCCCCATTTCTACACCCACTGCCTCACCATCTGCTCGCTAAGCCCTGCCTGAGAAAGGGCTTTTGCCGCCTAACCTCAGACACGTTTCAAACAGAGATGTAATCTTCATTTCCATGTAGCGCTAGGGTGATGGGTTCACAAGAAACACTCCCCCCGCTGCTTCAAGCAAGCGTTTTCAAAGGTGAAAAACATCTCAGAGGGGCAGAAGCAGTGTTGAGACAAACAGGGATTTCTCAAGCGTCTGTAGTTCAACCTGAGAGTGATTCAGGAGATCCCATCAGCCCGCTCCCATAACACCAAACAATTCCCTTGACTGACAAGCATAGAGCTGTAGCTAACAGCAAGTGAATCGCGGCTGTCAGGACCCAGCATAATTCATGATGCCATTTGCTAGAGAGCAAGCTACTGCCGGGCTATTTATCATTCCTTCACGATGCGGCCCCCGTTCCTTCTGGATGGGGTTGACATGATTCACGAGCACCTGTAGCTGCCGAGCAGGGGCTGCACGGAGCAAAGCCTCCGCCGCTGAGCCGGGCGGCCAGACACTGGTAGCCAGACAAATGGCTTTTCCAGCATGTGGACAGATAGTTCGAGCTTTTCAGACTCTTAACAAAGGAAATACATTCCTCCGCTGACTCTCAGGAGTCATCAAGGTCACAGGAAAAGACGCCAGGTCGAAAGCTGAGATGAAATTAAATAGTTTTTTCTATCCACCGAGGAATTTGTGCAGCTCTCGTCAAATAATAGGCGAGCACTTTCCTGGCAAGTTGCAGATTTTATCTTCACAAGGTTGATAGCAGGTAAAACAGCATTATCCTCTCCCAGTCTGGAGGACAAACTGACACTTGGAGTGGCACAAAGAGGCGACTGAGCTGGGAACAGACTCAAATCTCCTTAATTTCAGTGCAGGATCCTAGTCCCCAGGCTGCTCTCACACAAACGCTGTTCGTTAGGAGCTTTCTAGTCCACTGCAGGGTGCATTCCAGTCGATATCCCCAACTATACATTTTGTTTAGCATAGATATATCTTACAAAGGTGTACTCTTTGTGAAGAAAACTAAAATGTTATCAATGTAGTTTTGTCACATTTCCTGAAATTGTATAGCTCCATGGAAGTAAACTTAACCCTGAGTACCAAAGCATGATATTGTCTCCACATTAGAAACTAAAAGACGAAATTTGGTGGTCCAGGTCAGGCAGGTCATCAATCTTAAAGCCTACTTAAAACCTATTTGGACTATTTTGGCATACAGGATTTCCTTATACCACCTGCAGACACCCAGCACTTTCCAAACTCATTGAGATTTAGTCATCCTTAGAGCTATATGTCTTCTTCGGCGAGTAAGTGAACCAGTTTACTGGGTGACATTTGAAACAAGCCCTGCTTGTTCCAGGAAAAATACAGTTTATCCTGTGCTGAAACCAAATTCGGCATCATTTGTAAAGCACCAAACTAGTCATTGCTCCTGATAACGACACTGCAGATGTGGCGTGCAAGGAAAAATATGACTTGATACATGACTAATCTGACAGTCTGTAGGTGATGCAGAGAGAAAGGGTATTTATAGAGAGCTGATGGCATCTGTCCCTACACCTGGATGTGGGTCGGCACCTACAGCGAGATGCGGGCACCTCTGAAGATGAGCAGTAGGTGACTCAGACCCTGAAGATCACCCACGGGAGCCACCGTTCCCTCACCTGGGAAGCACACTGGTGAACGGCCGTGCCCCTGGTACCCACCAGAGCCTCAAGTTCCTCTGTAAAGTTTCCACCACACGCCTGCGGGTCAGTCCACGCAGCTACGACATGTTTACACTTTCCCACCCACGATTTCCATCCTAAACCTTCACCCACCAAAGCGCTTTGCCTCTACCACGATGGGCGGCGGGGGGGGGTGATGCCGGGATGCTCAGCAACCCTCGGTCGCGGTGCACCGCGACCACTGCCGGGACCAAAACCCATCCCCACGACGGAGCGGGGCACTCACCCGGGCTGCCGGCGTGTCCCGCGGCGGGAGGCGAGCAAGGGCGGCCGAGGCGGCTTCGGGACGGTGGAGGAGGAGGAGGAGGAGGAAAAAGACGCCGTAAGGAAGCGAGGGGCGACGACCCGGCCGGCGGGACCAGCCCTAGCCCCAGCAGCAGCAGCAGGGTGCAGGCTGCCGGCATGGCGCTGGGGGTGGATGGAGGGGGGGGGGGGGGGGGTAAGGGGGGGGTTGGCGGTGGTGGTGTGGTTGTTCACATGCCCGGAGCGCGGCAATGAATAACCACGTAAATAGCGATTTTTAATTAATTCACAGTGCCCCCCCCCCGCCGGGGCGGCGCAGAGGGCGGCCGCCCCGGTCTTAAAAACGCGGGGTGCCCATAGCGGAGGGGGGGGGGGGCCGGCCCGGCCAGCAGCGGCAGCAGCCTGCGGCCAAGTGCCGGCGCCCGAAAGTAAAAGGGCAGGCGGCGGAGGCTCCTCCTCGAACCTGACATCACCCGGCCGAGGCTCGGCCCGGCCCGGCACGGCCCGGCCCGGCCCGGCCCCCCCCGGCCCCGAGCGGCCGCCCCCTCCCGCCCCGCGCAGCCGTCGGGCCGCCCGCTCCCTCACCCGCCCGCGCGCAGCAGCAGCGTTCTTCTTCTTAGTGGTATTTTGGAAATATTTTTTTTTCTTCTTCTTCTTCTTCTTTTTTACATTTTTTTTTTTCCTGATGCATCTCCCAGCCGCGCTGGGCGGGCAGGAACCCCCCCTCGCCCCAGCACCCCCCAGCCCCAAACCGCCCAGGAGGTGCCCCTGGGGCCGCGGCGTTACCGCTACCGCGCTTCAACGCAGACAGCGCGCAAGTCCCGCGCCCCGCGCAGCGGCTCCCGGCACGGCCACCCCACACACCCCCCACCCTCCCCGGCGTTTTGCTCTCCAGGGCAGCTCTACCCAGTTCCGTTTTCCAGGCCCCACGCGTGACAGGGGTCGTGGGGGGAAGGTGGGGGGGGGTGCGATAAGGCCGTCCCGCACGCGAGCGCGGGGGTGTCGGCTCCGTCACGTCACGCTTCCGCGCTCGGTTTTGAGCTGCGGAGAAACAAAGGCAGCGACCGAGCCCACGGACGTGTCCGCGGCTGCAACCGCGACGGCTTCTGAAACAGACGAAAACCCGGCAGGTTGCGCGGCGCTCCCCGAGACTGCAAAGTTTCTCTCCACGTGAGCGTGGTGAGCGTTAGACAGCACCAAACTGAATTCCCATCAAAGTCAAGTCCCTGCCAAATCTGTTACTGGTTGTAACGCTAACCCGCTCCCTTTTAACGGCCAGCAGCAGCGTTTGAGGCTGCAGCTTCTTGCGGTGGTGAATTTCCCAGGCTGGGCTGTACGGGAGGCAAAGGATTTCCCTTTATTGTTCTGAAATTCCCTTTCATAACTTCATGCTCCTGGATCTGCGAGAGAGCACACCATGGAGCAGCAGGTCGGGCTTTCCCGAGGCTGCTGGCATCTCAGCTCAGCTCTCCCTCCCCAGGGAACAGAAACCCATCCTGGGCAGCCTCTCCCCTCTGGGCCCTTTGTTTTTCCCTCGAGGTGTTTCCGACTCAGGCTTAATTTCCACAAGCCATGCAGAATCTGACATTTCAATGCGGGGGGTGACAAGTGACAATACACCACATCCAGATAGCTGCAGCCTCGGACAAAACCCAGATCTGGTCCACAGCCCCCCACTCCCCGTTTCTCCTTTCACCAAAAAGCACAAGTCGATGACTGACAAACACAAACTCTCCTGGAAGCCTCTTTCCACCCAAAAGGTGGCACTGATGAGCCCACACCAGCACGGTAATGTCCACGGCTTTAACCAGGCACAGGACTTGGTCTCCCGTGCTTTTCTCTCAACGTGCAGGTGCTCTCTGCACCTTCCCAGGCAGCTTTGCAATGAAGCACACTTGGAAATCTTCACTCTGATGCTCGCATAATCATAGAGGAAACCACTGGAAACGGCAGCCCTTTAGAGGCACCCCTCTACCAACCCATTTTCTATTCTGTTCCCTGCAACTTTTGGCATTTTCTTGCTTCAAATTTGCTTAAACTCAAGGAATAAGTCAAGCTACTGTCGGTTTGGGAAGTGCTACACGTTAGGAAATGAAGCACAAACAAATCACAAAAACACTTCAGTTGTGCAAGTAAACATCCCAGTCCTGGCAAAAGGGTACCTCTGAGTGACCCAGAAACCACGGGTAGTTACCTCCAACACGCATGATCCACACGGGACATCTTTAGGCTCCTTCAGCCTATGGCAATGTACTTGCATGTTCTTTATGGAATAGGTTGTGTGAAAAAACACCTCCTCATCAATAAAATGGAGAGACCAATACACAACTAAGTAACGTGCCATCGCAGGATTGAGTTAAAGCTCAGGTGAAGAGCTGTGAAGCATTTTGATACTTTAGGAGATGGCGCAGGGAGCACAGAACAGCAGCTCAAATACTTGGGGCTATCTTTACACATGAAACTAAGGACTCCACGTTACTGATTCCTAGGGTAGTAAGTAATGTCAGTAACATTTATGATTCTTCAGAAACTTTTGTTAGCCCCTGGAACAAAAGTCTTGCCAACAAGCAAATCAGATGCTTTCCTACATCCTTTAACTATGGGATACAGGTGAGGCAGCAGGGGCACAGAAATCTCTCCGAGGTCACGATACACCCTCAGGGCTGCGTTGGGGCAAAACAAAGCCAAACCCAGCCCTGACATGAAATGGATACTCTTGTGTACACTCAAGCTTGAGGGCCATAACACTGAGCCTACAGGTTTCGTCCTTTTCCCCCCACCTTTCACAAGAGACTTCTCCAATGTCTAAGCCACGTAGCAGCTCCCCGCTCTTACTTCATCCTCCCAGGCTGTAAATCCAACCAGCAGGAAGCACAGTATCAAATGCTTTTCCAAAAAAAATCTCAATAAAATCTTCCTACTGTTTTTCTCAACAGTCACATTGAGAGCAATAGCAGAAGCAGGCAAATGCAAAACAAACCTTGCTGAAAGAACAACCGGTGTCCATATCGAATGGCTCCGCTTCCCCGTGCCTCTGCGGTGCGGCCGTAGCCGCGACCCACCGAGCTGCGAGCAGGGAAGACCTGGATTAACACCCTCTCCCAAACTGCCATCAAACCTGCCCGAGTTGCCGTGCATTTCTGAACCAAACGAGGCATTTGTGACTGTGACAGGGGTGGCCACGGGGACCGTCCGCGCTGCCAGCGACAGGAAACGCTGGCCAAAGGGGCCTGTGCTGCCCTTGGACCAGCCGCGTCCTGGCAGAGCTCAAGACAGGCGGGAAAACCCGCGGCAGGGCCAGGGATTGCCCGCTGCAGCACCGAGGCACGGGGCAGCAGTGAGGCTACTGCCTTTGCCAGCCCCGGCCAAAACCCCACAGTGTGAACCCCTGTGTTTAAACCCGTATTTACCATCAGAAAATAATCTCTCTCCTCCCTCCGTCGTGGTTCCAGTCATGAGCAGCACATTATTCACGAGCACCTGGAAAGGAAACACCAATAGTCAGCCAGTTTCAGACTTCCCAAATGCAATCCCTTCCCCCCTCCAGGTGCCTAATTTGCCAAGGTTTAGTGGCTGTAAATTTAAAGCTACTGTGTTTTCCTGCCATGTTGTTTTATTCCTACCTTCACTGCTTCATAAGGAATATCCCTGCCCCAAAGTCAATTTATGACTGATATTTTTGAGCTCCAGCTCCACCAGCTAAATGAAAACATGGAAAAAACCTCACTTATTCTTCCTTTTTTTTTTTTTAAAAAAAAAAAAAAAGTGGATGTTTTTTATTAATTGGAGCTGCAGATGGTAGTGTGGTGGGGATATCACCCCTGCCACCCACGTGCAGAATTAAACACCCTCCTGGGAGGCCGGGGAAGAAGCATCAGGGGCAGGAGGAGGAGGATGCACTGCAGCAGGGCGAAGGTGGCTATGTGGGTACAAGCACTCAGGAAAGGCCACCAGCACTTGGCTTTTCCCTGCGTGGTCCTGGAGTTGTTTATCCCTGTGGCACGACTGCACGCTCCACTGCTGCATCCCGCTAATAATCGTTACAGGACAGCTCTGGGCTGAGGGCTGCTCCCCTCCCTCCTTCAGAGCACAAAACTAATAGGGGATTTAAATGCATGAAATTGTGCCTGAGGAGTCAGACAGGCCAGGCAAACCCTGATGTTAAATAATGCCACCACATCCTCCTGAAAGAGGCTGTGACCTCAAACAGCTCCCTGAATGATATATAAAATACATTTAACGCTTCCACCTGAAAGCAACCAACACATTTAATGCACAAAGGAGTTACAAACAAATAAACAAACAAAAACCTCATCAACATAGGAAGCCTCTGACATAACTATATAAAACATGATTGATATTATATGCTGACTAATTGAATCCCACCCATCACCTTGTTTTGGGGGAAGAAGAGTATAGTGTGTTTTTATTTCACCTTGATTTCCACTCTCCAGATTGAGGGGCTGGAGACGCGTGACTGAATTTGCCCAATTCTGCATCGTTTTGGTCTGAAATCACCAAAAAACACGGGAGTCTCTCCAGAAGAAGCATCTCTGTAGCACTTCGTCAGGATTACTTTGACTGGTCCCTTCCCTCCGCTTCTATAGGAGCCTTTCGCAGCCCCAGCCAATGTCATGAAACTCCTGCAGCTCCCTTGAAACTCAGCCCAGATCTGTCCAAATCTTGGATCAGGCTCATAAACCTCATACAACTTTTAAGCCGATGATGAATTAAGGTACAAAGTGAATGTTTTCTACTCCTGGAATTTGTTATTAAAAGTCCTGAGTTTCTGAAGCGGACAGCTAGTTCCTAACTGAGTAATTAATTACCTTCCCCATCTCCTCTCGATGCCATAAGCATCCATTAATAGATCCCAATCATCCAAAAGGCACTTAGTACCTGACCATTTCCTTGAAATTTTGGGGGTGGTGGTATTTTATTGATTTATTTTTACAAGAACTGCTTGCCTTGTACCTCCGTTGGAAACAGCTTGTTCCAGATACCTGACATTTGGAGGTCAGGATGGATATGGGTCTTGTGGTCCCTTCTCATCCCTCACAGAAAAATGCACAACAAATTAAAATGATGTTGCATTTTGAATCCTGTCACTGGAAATAAATCCTGTATTTTCTGGGAAAAACAAAACAAAACAAAATCAAAGACAAAACCAAAAACAAACACCCCCCCACCTCCACCCCCCCAGCCATTTAAATCTAGCTGGGAAGAAACAATTCTAAATTTCTGATTTCTTTCTTTTAGGACCCTTTTCAGCCAGGTCTGGTTTGGAGCACATCAAGAAAAACCCAGCCATTCCAGAGCTGAGCAAAACACTGCACAGCAGCGCCCTTAAAATCCAGAAAGAAGCCCCTGGCAAAGTTTACAAGCAACATTTGGATCCGATAAAGTTACAGGTGCGCTTCTTGACCGCTGCATTTCTGGGAGCACGCCCGTGCTTCCATTCGCTCTCGCACGAGGCGGGAAAATACCAGGTATTTGGGGCATGTCCATGAAAATCACATGAAAAAAGCCACAAAGAGCAGAAGGTGGAAAGGGAAGGAGCCTCTCTTGTGCCATACAGGCTTTAAAGCTATTTACTCCTAGCCTGCAGTTTGCTGCTAGAGCCTCTCATCCATAGCTTTTAAGGCTGTTACTGCTGAGGTCTCACCTCATCTCAGATTTAAGTGATGCTACGCCAAATCTGGGTCTCAGCAACACACCACTGTGCAATATAAGCAAGCCCATTATATACCTCTTTTATATGGAGTTACCGTATTTATAGCCTGTCTACAAAATTTTCTTTTATCTCAGTAATTGCCTTTTCTAAAATTCACCAGGAAAGAGCAATAATTCAAATAACCTCAGTTTCCCACTAACCTATATGTTAATCCTGGGCTGGCTCCTGTGATTCAGCAAATCTCTTCCAACCTTGCAGGTGCTAAGTATGATGCTGTTTAAGAAACTCTGCCTGTCTGAACCCGAGGTGCATGGGCAAGACCATACTAGCTCACAGGGCACAGAGCCTAAATTCAGTCATACACAGAAACATCATTTCATATTTTGTCAGCATTCTTTGCTACTTCAACACTGTGGTCACAACTATCTGCTATGAATAGGTGACCATGGCAAGTGTGTGATCTTTTTTGGCCACCATACACAACAAAGACCATCTAAGGAAACTCAAAGCTGATCAAGAAAGATCCAAGAGGGCAGAAAGAAAACACATGGGTTTGAGCTAATCTATGGATTTAAGGAGCTTGGTTCTCCCCATACAGGCTCCTAATGAGACACACAGGCAGATCCAGGGAGATGATGACAATTTATACCAACTGAGGAGCTGCCTTTTAATACCAATATCACAAAAAAACTTCACTTTTCTCCTGTCCATTCTTAGACTTGACTATTTGTGCTGCAAGTTTTTTGAGGCAGAAGATTCTGATTTCTGGGCCCATTTAGTGTTGGGGGATCACAAACACAGCACGACCTTCCAGGAAATACTGCAAGGCAAGTAATAAAATCTTTATCCTTCACTGCCTTCTGTGCTTGTATGTTCTGCAAAGAAAGTCATCAAAACTAGAGCCACCGATTTACAGCCAGAGTCTTCAAAAAGAAACAAAACTGAGCTTTCATATTCACATCCCTCTTGAAAACAAAAGTTTTCACACCTTGATCCACTGAAAAACTTTCTCATCTTTCAAATATTAATAATTAAAAAGTAAAATTTCCAACTGAAAATAATTATAGATACTAACAAAGCTCACATGGCTTAGAAGATAGGAGAGCCTTCTCACAATGACATTAACCAAACTGCAACCTATATAACCTCTATGGGACATACGGTGCTCAGAGCTGGGTCCCAAACCCACCTTCAGGGAACCTGAATACTCATGAAAGTTGCAAAATCTGGAGTCACAGCCTGGCTCCTGGCAGGGTGAAAGCAGCACGTTCCCACTCACTGTGGTAATTCCCACCCGGATTTCTTTCCTTCAACCACTAAACATGAAGCTAATAAATCCCTACCCCTAATTTCACACAGTTTTTTCTGTGCTACAGAAGCTACAGACATTTGTGAGACAACACCCAATCTTTGGCAGTGCAGCTGCTCTCTTTCTCACTGGAAGGGCTTCCCTGATGTGCAAAGCCCTGCCTATCTGTACAGCCTGAACTCGAGTCTCCAACGCTACTGAGTCTGTGGGGTTATCAGAGCTAAAACAAGGCATCCCTCCACTCTTACCGTGCCAGAGCTAACACTCCAGAAAAGATCAGCATGTCCCTTTTCAGGCATTGAACAGGAAAGTTGCTCTACTCATGACCTGTAATGGCAGCAGGGAAACCAGCCCTATGCAATGTGTTCCTCCCTCACAGACATGAGGGGAGGAAAGGACCAGGTGCCCGTACTTACTGGGTGGTAGAGGGAGCTGGTTCCTGCTGTGCTGGTGGTGCGAGGGGAGGAGGTGGAAGAGTTTCTCCAGCAGCAGCACATGGAGCTCAAATACCAGAACCCCCCATCACAACATGCTCTGCAGAGCATCTCCTCCACTGCCTTTCTCCAGAAACACCAAGGCATGACCCATCCCTGTGCCCCAGAGCCCTCCAGACGTCTTCTCACCGAGCCCCTGCACAGCATGGTGCCTCCCTAGGGTAGCCAGTGGAGGCTTTGCCAGTGAACACAACCAAAATTTTTCCAGAGGGCATGCAGGTGCAAAGGGTTGCTGGAGCTGAAGTGGCAGGATGGTGGTGGCAGGGGAAGGGGACAGATGCTGCAGATTTACATTAGCTGAAAGCAAAGCTGTGGGGCACCTTCCCAATACTGCTAGACCAAGTGAGAAGCTGCTTGTATCTCTGGCCCCTCACATCTTTGTTTTGGGGATAAGCAGGAATCACGGTGTTGGAGAGGCAAACACCCACCACCACCAAGTCATCTGGCTTCAACCAGCACAGCTCCTCAGCAAGGTGCACAGCCAAGGGACCTTACCCATATCCTCCCCCTCCGGATCTCCTGGTTGCTGATTTATTTTAAGGGAACTGAATTGTTTAACAGCTAACAAAGTTAACCCAGGAATTTCTGCCTGTTAATCACTTCATGCTGTGCTCTGAGGTTTTCTTTTGTACAAGCTACAGAGAAACACAGGGCTGGGCAACCCCCATCTTGGGAGGGAAGGCACCCCGCAATATTTTGATGCGATGGGACTTTATGAAATAAAAGATTTTACAGTAACGGCATTATAGTTGTGTACCAAACTAACATGGGATAACAGCATCATGTGGCTTGCCAGCAGCGGATCATCACCAAGGATTGTTTGAAGTTTGCACAACAGCAGTAGCTGCTAAGGTAAAGGATGATACAAGCACAGGGTGGGTCCTCTAGAGCTGCTGGTCCCAGGGAACCCAGGGAAAGCTTCAGGACAGAGTCACATCACAACACACTCTTTGAAAACCAAAGGCAAATGGCAATGGGAGGAAGGAACCCTGGAAGGAGCATTTCCAACACAGAACGACTGACTTGAGGTGGGTCAGAGCTGGCCACACAAGCGTAACTTCCCTCTTGCCTCTACTGAGATAATAAAGGTTAAAAATACTTAGTAAAAGACCTGTCACCTTGAAAAATGAATACGCTTTCTGCAGTGCACCAGGATTGCTCTCTTCTTCATCTCAGCAGTAAGCCTCCTTTGCTTCCCTCTGTAAGAACACTGGAAGAGCCAAAGCTGCAGCGGCCAGACCATAAGATGGGATGGGGTCCCCCATGGCTGGTAATGCCAGGGCACCGAGCCCTGACAAGTGGAATGGTGCTCAAAGGCATTGAGGGTGCCCACAGCAAGGACGGAGAAGAGTTCTTGGTGTCTCGAGCTTTTATTGCACAGAAGAAGAAATAATTTAAAGGCTGAAATCATCAGAGATTAAAGGAAGGGAAAGGCAGTGATTTTCCCCTCCTTGTAGCATCAGAACTGATTTGTGGTGCTGGGGCTTGCCTCAATCCAGATCCCTCCCTCCCACCTCTGTGGGTCTCTGCCAGGACTGCTGCCTGCAGGCACCACAGCTCTCAGCTGAGGGGTTTTCCCCTGGGGAGCAGAAGCAACAGTGATGGGGGTGTCCGTGTAAAACCTCACTCCACCCCACAGCCACTGCCCACCAACCCTAAGATCTGTGCGGGAAATCCTGCAGCATCCCCAGCTGAACCTCCCAAATCCCACATCATGACAGTGGGAGAAATGGCTCCCGGTGGGAGCTCAACAGGAGATGGGCTTTAAGCAAAATAATCAAAGATGAGGCTCAACATATTTTGTTAAGGCACTTCTGAAACATCCATCCCTTCAGTCAGGAGATGCTCTATTTGGACCCAGCTATGTTGTCAGGTCCCAGGTGTCATGTCAGAAAGGATGTGGGAAATCACTATCAACAGTTTCTAAGACATCATTTCACAGCTTTACAGTAGAGGTCATTATACTGCATTACTGCATTTAAATGTGCGACTCCAGTTGTGAATATATTTCTTCATCTTGCACTTGCCACTGATTCTGGCCTATTGTCTAATGCCTTTAAGTATTTTCTAAGACCTTGGTAATTGAAATGCTGAGGTAGAAAATTGCTGTATTACAAGCAGGCAATTTCATGCCAAGGGAAGTGAATTGACCTGGAAGGTCACATCCATCCGTGACACAGCTGGGAGCGGGGCGCTGGCTCCTGCTGCCGAGGTCACCGCTCCCAGGCACAAAGCATCCCTAGTCACCCAGAGGACATTCGAAATGGGGTGTTGCAAGCTTTCATAGCAGCAACAGTCTTTAGAGCTCAATAGTGCTTATAATTGAATTCTTTAAAAGGATTATATTTTCCTCAGTAACTCACCACTTCCCTGGACTGGCCCTTTCATTTGCATTTTTGTCCCCATTTTGCATAAGATTTGAAACCCAGCAATGTTGTAGTTTGCATAAACAAACAAGCCTCGAATATGTAACTATTCACATCCTTTTCGTATATATTCAAGTATTCACAAGGTACCATGGCACCCATTAGCATTTATAAATGCTTTTTGAAGTGACAGCTTGATTTTTTGTGTCCTTTACTGGAACTGATTCTCAAACTCCTCTCTGCTGATAAGCGAGGACTGGTGATAGCGGTCCCGCGAGGCAAAGTCCGCGTTCTCCTCGGTGAGCTGTGTGGTCTCCATGCCAACTGTTGCAAAGGACGGTGTCACTACGATCTGCTCCTTGGGAGATGGCCTTCTCCTGCAAACAGAGAAGCAGAGGTGCCTGCATCACCCTTTGTTTGCCATCCATTAGCAGCCGTGCTCCCGACTGTGCAAACAAGGCAGGGCACTTCAAGAAGAGGCTAAATCCTCAGTGCCCTTGGAAGGCAGAGAGCTAATCTGAAAACATTTTTCTGAGAAGGCGCACAAATAATATACTCTTCCCAGAAAACACTGGAAAATCTAAATTTTCTTAACAAATAAGTTTCCTCTTTAGACACCGGCTATGGCAAACACTTTCCACACCATGCAGAAGAAGAAGCGTGAACCATTTCTACTGAAAAATACCCGTTCCTAAACTTTCGTGCACAATTATTTTTGTAACTCTTTTAAACAAAAGAGGAGATTTTTCTGCAATCTCTTTACCCCAGGGACTGCCTTTAAGAAAACCTTACTGCACGTCTGCAAATCAAAACTGTAAGATCATATAGAACTGACTCAGACCTTACTGAGCACCTGAGAGCCTTAGAGGTGTCAAGGATCTTTGGTTGCCTTCAAATCTCTTGCAGTCTAATGGGATTTCTTTACCTCCAATTCATTAAAACATCTTGCCCGGATTTCAAGGAAACCAAGCTTAGAAAAAAACAGTAAATTACTTCAATGTTATTTCTTGCAGCATAGCAAAATCAGGCTTCAAAATGACCCACCCAACCCCCAAGCAGAGTCAAAATTGTCTTTGTGCCAGCATAAGCAGGAGCCCTGGCATTAGGATAAGGCTGATGCAGGGATTGCACTCTTTGAGGAGACAGAAACAGGACCAGTTTCTGCCTTGGGCACTCACCAGCTTCCCACTCAGCCCGCCTCGGGAGGGTCTTTGCTCACCAGTTTCACTGATCAAAGCACTAAGGACTGTACTGGTCTGGTAACCTGCAGGATAAAATCCCCTTATGACAACAGCACCTCTACCCACGAGAACTGGGGCTGCTTCTGTGGGAGGGATAGTTTCTCCTTTCCACACACAATAACTCTCCATCAAGCCTTGCATCTCAACCAGCCTCCTGTGGGGACCCTCTGACGACGGGCAGGAGACTGTCCCTCAATGTGCCTCAGGTCTATCACGAGGAAAATCCTGCTTCATCATCATAGCTGCACCAACCTAAAATGACCTGTCACGAATCTTTCTGGATGCTGAGGTAGAACTGGACAGACAAGTGTCCAGTATACAAAGCAGCAGGGTCTGCCTCAACATGCCATGAAGAATTGTGGCAGAGCTTCACCACAGCCCCACGCACCCTGTCCCCATCCTCACCTCCTCACCCTTGTCTCGGGCTCGTGTTACCAATCCAGCAGACGTTGTGAAAAGGGGTGGGGAACAACCCCTTACTCCAAATGATACATACAGAAAACACAGTGCACCCCCTCACTCCTCCTCTTCTGGGTAGGCTGCCTAACCTGGACTCTCATCCCCTAACACTTAGGCAAGTGTGCAGCTTCACACAACTGCCGTGAGAAGCAGCAGTAGCTGCATGAACAAAGCTCTTCATGGCAAGTGGTGTGCAGGACAGGTGGGGCTTCAGGGATCCAGCCCCTTACTCAGAGACACCCACTGGTCTGGTAGAGAGAGGGATGCATGTGATGCAAGAGAACTGACTCATCTGTTCTGGGTCACTTCACAGACCTGCCTTGGGGACCTAAGAGAGGTCCCATCACCCCCAGCTTCTCTCAAGCCACCTCCCCGACCAAAGGCACGTGGCCACGTTATAGGGACTATGGGCAGAGGAAGGAGCTGGCAAGACAGGCCTAGGCATGTGCCAATGTGCTTAAATGCCCGGACTTCCACTTATTTTAAAGGAGCCACCAAATTTACACACATAACACACGATAGCTCATGTTGTGCAATCCTTACTACAGTGTTCACCCACCACAACAAAAAAACAACCCAACAGATTGAGAACCTCAACCCACTACATTGTACAGCAGCAGATGTGGTCACTACCCTCTGTGGGAAACCCAAATGTGATAGAATTAATAATTAATAGGATAAAACCAGATTAACAAAACTAGTAAATAACCAACCAAACAAAACCCTTAAGGTCTTCTTGGAAGGAAAACCCCAAGACAATGCTACTGCAGTCCCATGGAAACTCAATACTCAATGGCTCCTTCACTGAAGACCTTGTTTATTCTATATGCCCTGTAGTTATTGTGGCTTCCCCCCAGCTGAAATTCAAGCACAGCTGTCACGTGTGCCTGTTCCACAACTACCATAGTAATTTTCTTTCAATGACTGGTCGGTAGAAGAAGTGGAGACTCCGGTTCCTCATTTTCTACCAGATTTTCCAGTTCAACCCAGGCCACCAAGGTTGAGCACAGACCTTTGGGGTAAGATGAAGCGTCAGGCACCGAGATATAGTTAACAGCTGATGTGTTCACACATAAGGCAGAGGAGACTCCAGCTCTCCCACTTACATGGTCAGCCATACACCAGTCCAACGGGAGCAAACAGTTATATTTGCCATTAACAATTACTTTGCGTACGCAAGAAGTTAATAAGCAAGTCAACTCTGCCATCCCTCTCTGTGCACGCTGGTGGGTCACGGGAACAACGAGCGTTACCTCAGACAGTGCCAAGTGACTGGTACCAACCTGCACAAGGTGATCAAAACCGACTTAATCCAGCTGAAGAAACTGAAATTCGCTGCTGCTCCTACAGAGAAAGGCATGAGAAGTCAGTACGCTGCTAATTCTCTCACAATAGCATTACGCCATTGAATTTTTGCATAAATCTCAGATCAACATACTTGTTATTAGCCCTCGGTACACAAAGATTTTGCCATGGTGAGAACACTCCTGCAGGCTCCCCACACACTCTGGCTTTTCAATGACTGTCAAGAAACTTAACCCAAGTTTCCCATGGAGAACAGCTCTCCTTTCCCAGACTGTGAAACCCCCAGTAGAACAGTGATCAAAGCACAGACGCCCGCTGCAGTACCTTTTCCTCCCTGGACAGCAAAGATCATTCCCACTGCAGGGATGGGGAGACAGGAGGAGCCATTCAGCTGCCCTCAGCCAGGGTGGCTGTGGTGTCTCCATCCATTCCCTCCTGTCTGACCCCACAGAGAGCTGGCTTAGCTTATTACACCAACACTGATTTTTTGTGATTTCTCTGTAGAGTTAGTTTCCTGCACTGGCTCACTGCAGGGGCAGGGAAGTGTTGGAGCTGGCAGCAAAAGCAGCAGGAAAAGTTTGTGGTGAGGAACAGGGAGGAGAACAGAGACCCAGCAGCACCTGCTGAATTTGGCTTAGGCTCCTGGGGAGGAAAAGCAAGAAGAAGGGACGTGTCAAAATCCCAGAGCATTTCTGCTCCCAAGGTCTTCATCTAGTCCTTAATCCAGTGCATCTCTCAATCTTTCTAGACAGAAGGGTCGTTCAGTCTTTTGGAGAGCAAACTCACAGATCATTGGGTGCTATGTGACCACAAAATAACATTGACTCACAGCCAAATAAAAATCAGGCTGAATTCTGAGTGTTCAATTCTAACTTATTCTTTGCCATGCATTGTTTTAGTGTATGCATGGGAATGCACACGCAAAAAAAAGAACAAGAAAAAAATGTCTAATCATGCTGCTATTTCTCAGATCACATTCCAAACTCCTCTACACACTGACTGAGAAATTCTTTTTAAAGTAATTTTTGGTAAATACTTCAAAAGCAGGTAACAGAGATATAATACAGTGAATATACAAAGGCAAAGAAAACTCCAAAGCCTGAAAACTTTACTTCTGTTTTGCTTTGTATATGGGGGCTGTAAAAAACTTTGTTAAAAATTTAGATATATTTCAAAAAATACAAATTAGCAAGTCCTATCCACAATCTCAGCTCTTTTCTACTACCCCATACAGATACATAGAAAAAAAGTTCCTTAAGAGCAGAAAGAGAAGAATTGTTGGGCAATGTTTTGATGGCTACTGAGTGACAACTGGTTTTTGTTTTCTCATTGTCTGGGTTTCTGAAATCTAGTATCTACTTACCTAGTGTCTAATAACGTTTAATCTAAAAAAAAAAAACCAGGTAGATATTTCTGTATTGCCTAAAAGACGTATGAACTCAGGTTCTTTCAACTTTTGGACAAAAAATTGCACATCCATGCACGCATACATGCACCTACGTATGTATGTATGCACCTACGTATGTATGTAGGCATAGGTCCATGAGCACACACACACTGTGTGTGTATCAGCCTCTCCCCCCAGAGACACAGACCAATGCAATCCCCTCCTGCAGCTGTGCCAAGGAGCTGTAGGCTCTCACGAGCTGCTTTCTGAATGTGCTCCACTGTTTAATTTTGAAGTTGTTTAAGCCGATCACATGTACAGACCTTTCTAACGCCCTCTGCCTAAAAGTATTTTCTCAGATTATGCTCCCAAAATATTCAACCTGTTTAGTTCTGGAATCAAAAGGCTCTCTTGTTCTGCAGTTATGAATGGTGAGATTTAATGAGATACTCATCATAATTCCCATCTTCCTTAAAGTTTTCTCAGGTGGGTTTAGGTTGATTAATTAAGTTTATTAAAATGTATTTACGGCAGATTTTTCTCACTGCTGTGATACTCTTACAATGTGCCATCCCTGTTAAGTCTTAGTATCTGGTTTTGCCATTTAAAGTACAGTATAATAAAGCAATAAGCATAATGTTCAAACTTTCAAACCAATGCTGGTTACAGTTAGAATCCAACAAAAAATTAAAAACTCAGAGAGAAAATGTATTAAAACTAGCAACAAAGCAAAACCTCATCATTCACTGTGTCACCTGCATAGTAAGCACAAGAGTCACCATTCCTAATAAAGTTAAATTAAGGCTTAATGAATTTTTAAGCATATTTAATAACACAGAAAAACAAAAAGTACCCACCAAGGGGGAGCCCGGGGCTCACTTGGCCGATGTAGAAATACAGAATAACCGCTGCACCCAGGCTGACAAGCGTATAGATCCACTGAATGACAAACATTATGATGAGGGACACAATCGCCTGTTGAAAAGACAGGGTTTGGGGTTACCCCAGAGTCCGTAAGATAATATGATGATGACAACCTAACAGACTTTATTCTGCAAAGCCCAGAGGCTCCGCTGACCTCCTGCTCTGGCCCTGTGGGATTGCTGGCAGCACAGTGCCCGGGGAGGACTGCTCACCTTCAGACACAGCCCGACACCAGGTCAGCAGTTTGTTCCTCAACCTGGCAAGACCAGCATGAATTGCAACTCTAGCCGAAACTCTTTAAAAACTGAGGCAGTGCTGGAGCTTTCAAGTTGCTGTGAGAGCATCAGTAAATCCTCTTTTTTTCTTGCCAAAAGTGCTGCATCTTGGTTTTAAATGCATGCAAAACCAGTGCTCTGATGGCATCTCCGCAACTCTGTCTTTCTCAGGGTCTTGGGACTGTTGTGTAAGAGACACGCTCAGTCAGGACCCAGGATGCACTCACTCGGAATTATCCTGGTGAGTGTTTCCTTTTAGGTGTCTCCCTCCTAATGATGTCCCGGGACAGGGACACAACAGAGGCTCTCCTTGCACAAGACCTGCTGCTCAGCCCGGGGACCTGCTGCACGTCCACGAGAGGAATGATGCGAGCTGCAACCATGCGTGTGAACGGAGGCTCCTGGGCATTGGTGGCTGAGGCCAGTGGTGCAGCAGGACCCCCGGGGAACCACATCATCTCCTGCCTGCAAAACACTCTACGGTGCATGGCTCCAAGAGGAGTATCCAGAGGCTCACCACCTCAGGAGGTAGATCTGGCTCAAGGGACATACAAACAGGGGCAGGGGTAGCATCTTCATGGGTGAGGTAAGGAACAGCAAGGGGCAGCATGCAAAGAAAGAGATAGATGAGTCCAGACTGACACAATCGGTGAAGCTTGAAGAGAGAGGGCAGAGGGGAAAGGAGCCAGGATGAATAAATGCATCTGGTTTTTGCTTCTGTGATTTTATTTTGCACCATTGATCCTTTCTCAGTTCTGCTGCAACCTCCTCCCAAGTCTGACTACTGACAGGAAACCAAATCTGCTTTAATGAACACATCGGGCATCTTCTTAAAGCAAATTCCCCGGTGAAGGCAAGGAGCTGATCACACTGCAATGGCATGCGCTTGGGAGCCACGTTAGTTACCAAGCCCAGAGAGAGCATCTGGGTGCAACCTCCTAAAGATGTCATCACCAGAGAGGAGCCTCCCCATCGATCCCACCCCCGGCACAACAATCCAGTGGGACCCCTCACCAGGAGCTGCCTGCTGGCAGCAGCAGCAGGGAATTTGAAAAGCAGTGAATTTGAATTTGTCAAACTCCATCTAAGGATTAAACTAAAAGGCTTCAGTGTGTTGTTCGAGTGGTTTTGTTACATTTTACACACAGCTATAAAATCCCTGTCCATGCAGCAAAGCCATATGGGTCATTCATTATGCATATCTGACCCTTCCCCTGTCATCTGCCCAATAATCCATCTTCCCAAGATGAATTTAAATGTCTTAAACTCCTCAGCAGCTTGAGACAGAAGCTATTCAGAAGTTATTTATTCTTTAAAGTAACCTGCTGGAGGAATGCTCCAATTTCCTCCCTCAAAAGATGGAATTTCACAGCCAGGCTGCTGGTATCAGGAGGTCAGCACTAATGAAACTCCACCCCAAGCTTGCAGAAACTGGCTCATAAATAAAAGCAGTACAGCTCTGAAGCCAATGTCTCACTCCATCCTATGGCAAGGAAAAGCAGGCTGGCATACAGTGAAAAAAGGAACACTGATTTTTTTTCCCAGTCAGCCATCCATCTCTGGAGTCCTAAGATGCTAGACTTCGAATTTATATGTTTTTGGTTTGGGTTGGGGTTTGTTTTTTTACTGCTGTTATTGTTTTAATTAATATGCCATCTGCCTTTCTCTGAATTTCAATGGCTGGATGCATAGTACCTTGAGTACTTAATTCAGCTGATCTGAAATACTAGAAACAAAAGCCATTTTAAAGTACTGTGGTGCATTTACAATGCAGTAAGTAAGGAATTTCCTTCTGTTTTCTACAATCACAAACCAGTGCTCAAAATAAAAGAAAATTACTTACACCAGCAAAGGAAACCCAGTGGTTGCAGAATTTGGAGTAAAAGGATTCTGGTATTTGCTGAATTCCCAGCCCTGGATTTTGTTGCTTTATAGATGATTCTACAAGGAAAAAAAAAAAAAAAAAAGAAGGAAAAAAAAGAGAGACAGTAGAAATGAGCTGAAGTGGTTTATTTCTTCCTACTTTACATTAGCAGAGTCCAGAAAACCAAAACAGAAGTTCTAGCTGACAGAGGGGTAAGGCAGAGTTAAACCAAAACCTCTAAAATGAAGACAAAAAAGAAGTAGAAGATAAAAAATAAGTTGCCAGTTCTGGTGCTGAGTCCATCTGAAGGCCACATCTGCCTAGCTCTGCCTCGGTTTCCCTATCTGCAAAAGAAGAGAAATATAGCTTTTCTCCACTGGAAGGGTTTATGAAGCTTAACCGACTAATGCTGATAAAACACTACAGCACTAAGATGACAAACTCCAAGCAAACACACAGTGTCAAATACCCACATCGCCAGCAAACCAAATTCAGACTCATAGCTGTGGATGTTGAATTACAGACTCCACCGGTGGCATGAGGACCATCGCATTTTGATAGCCTGAGTTTTAGACTCACACAGCTCCATCCCTCCCACCATGCACCAGGATGAAGTAAATCCAAAGATACAGTCGAAATCTTTTTAAGGTACAGTACTAAGAGTGCATAGTAGAATAACGAGTATATAGTAAACAACCCTACACTAAATATACTCCTGCCTGCTGTCCTGTGATTAATCTTCCACAGGAAATTGCGTTGGAACTTCTCCTGTGATGCACTGCGATGAACTCTACCCTCACCTGGAATAAATGATATTATTGATATGAATCATCAAATGACATCCCCATATAAAGCTAGTTTTCACGCCTGCCTTCAGGAAAGCACTGGGAGGACCAAGGTTATAAGCCATTCCCCCATGAGCGTGGAGATGTCCACCTCCTACAGCCCTTACCTTCTCCCTTCTGGCCGGGGGGTGCCGGCGTCTCGCTGCAGAGCTGTGCCCCCCGCTGCAGCAGCCCGGGTGGCCGCGGGGCATCCGCCGCGGGTGATGAGCATGGACCCGTGTCATGCTGACAGCTCTGCGCAGCCAGGCCCTGCTGGCTCTCGCCGTGGGGCTCTGCAGCCTCATCCCCGTTGTACTGAGCTGGGGGAGCATCGTGATGGAGATCCAGGAGAAAGCTGTCTTGTAACGTCTGCTTGGCTGGCTTCCTCGCCTTCTTTCGTTTGAACTTTTGGGTTAAATTCTTAGCTCCTTCTTTTTTGCAAGTACCTGGCTCACTACAAAACGGTTTAAAAAGCTGGTCCATGTCTTTTCTGAATTCCAGCAAGGTGCCGTTTGGTCTGCTTTGAATTAGTCCATCTGCTACACGGCTGGAAGGCTTGTTGAAAATTAAAGGCTGAGAAAAGTGAGCAGGTCTAGTGTTTTCCATCTGGGTCTCATCAGGTTTCTGCTGAACGTTGTAGCTCAAGGACACAGAGAAATAGGAATAGTCTACAGCAATATACGTCAACATGAAGTTGATGGTGACTATGGGAGCAAGAACGTTCACTTCCCCAATAAAGACGAAAGCCATGGTGATGAGACTTGTTAAGCAAATCGCAGCCACTGGAGTCTTGTTGGGTCCTTTCTAGTTCATAAATAAAGCAAACTTACATTTAAATTAATAAGCATGAGCCTCACCATGAGGATTCCCCACTTGCTCAGCTGCCATGGGTGGTTACCTGGGCGGTCTGCAGGTAATGCATCTGCCCTTAGTCATGAATTACATGCATGCATGTGCAAGCAGAGGCTCACCAGCTTAATAAATCAAAGAACAGGCTAGAAGCCAAAAGCTGCTGAGCTCCCACCTCACCTCTGAGCCTCAGTCAAGCTTTGTCTTTGGAAAATTAATCCACTCTCACTCTGTATCTCCATGGTAAAACAATGTCATTAAAGCAGCAATAAACCTTCAGAGAGATTTGTGGGGCTTATGGGAAGTCTGGCAATAAAATGTGTTAATTAGAGTTAACTGTTCATCTCTAATTTCTCTACAGGACTCCACACTGCTGCCTACCCAGAAGGCTCCTGCACGCTGCCGCTGGAAAGGCTTCAACTGCCAGACACAGGCAAGGACGCTCTGCCTGCATGGAGCAGTGCCACCTTCACATCAACAGCTTCTGGCCCTGCCCTGACATGAGGCTGAGCTAAATCCACGGTCTGCGAGGCCTCTGCACTTGAGGTTTTCATCCTTTCATCCACCCAAGCCACATCTGCCCAGCAGCAGGAGGAAAGCAGCAGGGAGGTTAGGCAGCCGAGGATGCTGGAGATAGAAAAAGGGACCAGCTCTGGACCTTATGCCTTTTCACAATGAAACAGAAATACGTCTCAGGGACAAAGAAACACAGTTCTCAGAAAGCATCTTTGGTATCAGAAAGACGTACTGAGAGGGAGAACAGATGGGACAACCTCAGGATGCCTCTGGCTTGGGTTTAACTCTATAGAAAACACTTGTGTCCTTCCCATCAGCTGGGGTTATGGTGACTACAACACTTTCTTCAACCACAGAAAAGAATGGATGTGGAACAGATTGGTAAGGGCAAACTAAATTTAACTCTCCATAAACCAAAGCTAGACAATTTTCAAGGTGTCCAAGAGAAGGAAGCGAGGAAAGTGATCTGTCTTTGATTTCTCATCTCTTTTTGAGCCCCTCCCATCATGGCACTCTGCCTGGACAGAGTTCAGAGCGTAAAATTTGAGAGAGAGAAAGAAATAAAACTATCAGGGAAGACAGGGAATCAACTTTGCAGTCAACTTTGCTAAATCATGGAGAATTTCACAAGGGTTGCCAAGTTGAGAACAGCCTGTTCTGGGATCACCAGACAACTGCCTTCAGGAGCTGGAAGTTTTTGCTGTCATTATTGTTCCTGTTTCCCCTATAATTATTACTATTTATTATTATTGCTATTATTATGGTTTTAATTTTAGAAAATTAATTTGAGAAACATAAAATAAAGGATAGAAAATTATTATACTTACAAAACATTTATATATCTTAAAACATTCATAAATACTAATATTATAAAATATTTTTCTGTATTTACAAGCTGCTCTGAAGGAGCAAAACATCGTAAGGTTTTTCTAGCCACTCAGTACCCAGTTAGGTACAGCAGGTTATTGAGAGTGACGGAATTATTTTCTTCCTGTTTAGAAAAAGGGAAAACCATAAAAACCAGTTTGCTTTGAATGTATAGGCCAAGACTACAGAGTGACTGGTACTTTGACTGACCTCAGTAGAATGACTCGTGTGAATGAGGATTATTTGTGAGGACAAGGAAAAAGCCTCTTATATTCAAAGCAAGGCTTTGTTTCAAAGCATATCTAAAGCTTAGCAGCCCCCTAACTTAACCTTTCAATTTGTTTTTATTTTATAGTGTCCAAAAGACACCTTATCTTACAAAAAAGTGTCCTCCAGTGCACACAGACTGAATCCACAGCACCATGACTAGTCATGTACTCAGCTATACAGTTACCAGAATAGCTCAAAGAAAATGTGCAGTAAAAAGAATAGCTCAAAGAAAATGTGCAGTTAAAAAGAAGAAAAAAAAAAAATAAAGAGGCAGCTACGATCCGTTTCACCAAGTGCTTGGACAAAAACTTCAGGCCTCTGCCCTGGACAGGAGGGCAGAGAAGAGCTAGGTACCCCCCTCGGTCATGGTTAGGATCAGCACCAGCATAGGTAAGGTGTTTGCCAAAAAACCCACAGGCAGAGTTGTATCATAAGTGGCTGTTTTACTGGGGACATCTCAAAGAAGCAGGTCTGAGGGAGAAAAGGAGGGAAGGAGGGAAGGGAAGGAGGGAAGGGAAGGAGGGAAGGGAAGGAGGGAAGGGAAGGAGGGAAGGGAAGGAGGGAAGGGAAGGAGGGAAGGGAAGGAGGGAACCAACAGCAGCCCAGGAAGGGCTGTCCATCTGCAGGGACAGGACAAACAGCCCTGGGGTGCAAAGGTAGGTGAGCAAGATGCTGGGGTGAAACAGGGCTGCTCCTGCTCAGTGCTGAGCCCCGTGGGAGAGCTTGGGGCAGAGGAGGTGCAGCACAGGAGAGGAAAGGAAAGGACCGTGGGCAGCTGGGCTCTTGTTTTTTGTTTTTTGTTTTTTGTTTTTTGTTTTTAACAAAAACACGCATTTCCTGGCTTTTCTGCCTGTGCACAGGGTACCAGATCCGAAGCCTTCCCCTCCTGGAGTTTCACACATCCCCCATCTCACCCTACAGACATGTAGAAATCCTGGCTTCTTAAATCACCAGTTTTCCTTCAGGTGAAGGCTTGATAGCAATCTCAGAGAAAGGATGACTAACCCCACGTCCAAGGAAGGCGAGCATGGGGATCACATTCTCTTGGGCGATGCACTGCAGGATCCTGGGTGCTCCGTACAGCCCTCCCATGCAGGAGGCCAGGGATGAGATGTACAGCCCTAGCAAAAACAAGAAACCCACCAAGGATACCTGGAGGAAGCAGAGAGAATGCAAAATTGATTATATTGTTAAAGAGCCCCAAGCAGTCTTAAATACGTATATTTTAAGAGATCACATACATTTTGTAACATTGCTAAATGAACAGAGCAAGCCCTGGGAAAGCAGCAATTTAACTGGTCTGTGGCATAAAGTGCAAGCAATTAATACAGGAAAATTATCCCATAAAAGTAATTTAATACTGGACATCCTGTACCGACAGAACCATTTGACAAGCTCATAGCCAATAAATTCTTTGTCACTTGGAGCAATTGCAGCAAAGCAGCAGCTATTAGAGTCCCCTTAAGTAACTGGAAGTGAGTTTATTTCAGGAGAGATCACTTATATACAGAGCACATCATACAGGAAAAGCTGCCCAGGCTTCCAACCATCCAAAACAGGAAGACAAACCCCTGTGTCCCAGAGGGGAAAACCAATCCTGAAAGAAAATCCACAGTAAAACCAAATCAAAATTGACACTTAAACAAATGGCATCTCAAAAAATATGCTCCGAAGGATATAATACAATGACCTTATTTTCCTGTCTTCAATGAGAAAAGAATATTCTTTGGCCAACATGAATCTTAAAAAAAAAAAAATCTTTAAAGCCACAGTGCTAACAAGGCTGGGTTTTTTGCTGGTTTCTAGTGAGCACCCTTTCAAACGGGGAGCATCTCCTGCAGGCAGGGAGGGAAAGGAGGGCAGCTCGTGCTCTATCACACAGAAGCGAGGACTGGGGTTCCCCCGTGCAGGTCCCCACTGTCAAGAGCTGAAAGCACAATCAGCATATTGAAAAAAAAAAACCCATACAAATACACAAAACCCCACAATTTGAACACCGTGCAAGAAAGCTTTGACATGGGAGTGCTCCTGTTATCATGGTGTAAGGACATGGGCAAGGAGACTAAGGTCTAGGGTCACCTGAGCCACCTCCAAGTCCCAAAAGACCACTCGAGCCTGACAGCCAGCAGCCAGCCACAGAGAAAGACAAAGCGTGGGGGGTGACACCAGCACAAAGGCCAGGCAGGGAGAATCTCCCCAAATTTTGGTCCAGATCCATTCTGCCCATACTCCACTGAAGTGAGCTGCTGGAGGTGCAGATAGACATCCAGGGCAGAGGATGTCACCAAATGCAGGTCCCCTGCATCCCACGTCCTTTGCTCCCACCCCTCCTCTTGTGGAAAATAAGGTATAAATGAACATGGATCCTTCCAGCTTCTGCCCCTGTTGAAGTCGGGTGGAACATGCTTGATTAGAAGGAATTACAAAAATTTACATGACTAAAGATGATTCAAGCTACATCTACATCTTCCTCATCTATGAAATCTGCACGCAGCAAAAAGGAGATTGGATAAAAAGCTATAAAATGCTTGCTATTCAGGGAAGGCATGTAAAATTAATGTTGTGGTCCAGAACTGTACAAACTTCCTACCACAACATTTCTTTTCCCCGTGACAATCCACTTGGCCTTCAGAATTTTATCTTGTGGGACAGAAGAAACTTGAGGCAAAGATGAGCAGATACCAGCTTTTATTAGACACTCAATGGGGAATCTTCCCTTCCCTCTCCTCTGGTCCTGCCCTGCTTTGAGAAATACTTGAAGAAACAGTCAGTTGTGCCAGACATCATATATTATTTGGGCTGCCAAAAATGCTTGCATTTAAATGTACTACTTGACATTCAAATCAGGGTTAGAGGGGAAGAGTCCTTTTCACTGAGGCTGATGAAAGGGTTTGCTGGGGGTTTTGAGCATGGAGAGTGTGAATACTTTGTAAGAAATTGGCACTTCGAGCTCATTAGAAGTGAAATTACTGAATCTCAGTTTTACGTTTAAAAAGCCAAACAAGGATTATAACAGAGAAAAGCAGCCAAGCGCTTGCTCACCTGTGAGTGACAGAAGGGGAGAGTTTCGGTGTATAATGATTTCTCCCCACTCCCTCTCCACACAAAGTCATTAAAATCTAAAGCAGTTTGTAATAACTCAAAGAAGTAACACGAATATTGAGATTGCACCATTGTTTTGTTCCATGATAGGGAAAAGAAAACTGAATTTGCTTTTGGGGGGTTTAGTTTGTTTCTTTAGGATTTTATATTTAACATTATTTAATATCTTCACATTCTTTACTGGAAGATTTTTCATGTCCCCTGAGGGTTTTGAAGTTAAAACACAACTTTAACAATCTCTTTCTCTTCAGCTGATTCATTTTAGTCTCTTTTAGCTACTGTACTTTTCATCCACTAAGTCACTGACATACAAAGATGTCACCTTAAGGAAGGTAAGCTCATTCTTTTTCCCCTGAAACAGAAATTATTTTTTACCTTAGAAGGAAGTGGCAGGAGCCCCATCGATAATTTGGAGTTTATTTGGGGGGCTGGAGGAAGTCTAGAGCTACAATTACTTAGAAAGAAAACAAAGCCAGAGTTTCAAATTGGTATTTTAGATTAAAACCATGTTACAAATCAAAGAAATGGCAAACATTTCCATTGTATATTAATCACAAGAAATAGTGTCAAATATGGTGAACCCATGATTTTGGATACTGCCAAATAACAGAAAATTAGCCCTTCCATATCCCATTTAAAGTAAGACAATGGCACACACCAACGTCTTTTGCTCTCTTTTTAAAGGCCTACAATGATAAGGTTCATTGCCTGTAACACTACAAACCTCCCTCATGTATATACACCCATGTGGAATGTCTCGAGTTTAATAATCCTATTGCTCACCCTGCAATTACAGCCTGCTAGATATGGAAATGTAAGCTTCGCTTGACTTAGTAAAGATAAGCAGTGGAGTTCTTTAGAGATTTCAATTTGGTCTAAGCTTTCACCAATGAGAAAGGATACACTGAATAAAATACCACATTTATCATTAGACCACATTAGCATATTTTAGATCTTAAAGCTATTGCTGGGTGATTATGCCAAGATTCAGCATTACTGGATATGCTGGTGAATGCAAAGCTATTCAAATCAATTGTACACTGGGATTTGCAACAGAGAAATCCCCCTGAATTTCAATAAGGGATGGGCACCCAAATTCCTTAGGCTTTTGGAAAAGTCAAGCATTCAGTAAGGCAGAAGGCAACCCAAAATCACCATTACTTAAAACCACGCTGAGTTATTTGAACAAGTTACCTTCTCTGCTATCATGAAGTCATAGCGGAGTGACTGACGGGTACAAATGGCTCCCAGCAAAAAAACAAAGACCATGTACAGAAACCACCTGCAAACAATAAAAATAAACTATTTTTTTTTCCAGCAAGAGAAGACCATTGAGAATTCTACCCATTTGCAGAGCCAGAAGAAGGTCAAGTACCCACAAGCTAGGTCTTCAATCACGCTGCGTGGGCTGTTCCTGCATGATTTAGTCTCAGGGCTAAATTTAGTACTGGCCCACATTATTCACTCATTACAATGTCCCAGGGACAGCCACAGTGTGACCATACAGTACCCCTGAGGGGAAGCTACCTGCACTCTTTATGTGTGCATGATGGGAATAACCCAGTCCTGGAGACAGACATGTTGGTGGGGCCCGTAGTGACAGGGAATGGTTTTAAACTAAAAAAAGGTAGATTAAGACTAGAGGTAAGGAAGAAATTTTTTATTATGAGGGTGGTGAAACACTGGAACAGGTTGCCCAGAGAGGTGGTAGATGCCACATCCCTGGAAACATTCAAGGTCAGGTTGGATGGGGCTCTGAGCAACCTGATGTAGCTGAGGATGTCCCTGCTTATTGCAGGGGGGTTGGACTAGATGACCTTTAAAGGTCCCTTCCAACCCAAACCATTCTATGACTCTATGATTCTGCAGGTACATCGGACCTCTCATCTGGCAGTAACCTCAAACACCGCAGCCAGCCTGCTCTATAACCTCTGTCATGATCCTCCTCTGGTGCTTCTGGCCTTCCCAGTACTCAGGTGGAGGAATAAGCTAGTCTGTCAGCAAAGCCCAGACAGCAGAGATGTCAATGACCACAGTCTATCCATCTGTGATACTTCTGTGTCCTGTGGAATCCTTTCACATAAACCAAGCACCAATTTCAGCAGGAATTCCTCTAAATTCTGAAGACTCTTCCTTTCTGTCTGAACTTTGGTACACAAGTAAAAATAACTTCAAAAGCAGTTTAGGTGGCAATGAAATCAGACAGGAAAACCTACTGAGGTTTGTTTTTAATATGTAACGGTATTTTACTCCTGGAAAGTAGCATTTCCCGGGGCAGAGCACTGCTCAGGGACACAGAGCTCCTGCATTCCCCTGGCCTTGCAGGTAGATAGGTCATCTCACCCGTCTTGGCCCCATTTTCCAAATAATAACATTTACAATTTTTAGTATTTTTTATATTATATAGAAAAAGAAAGCACTTTGAAACCAACAGGAATAAGTGACAAAATCACACACCCCTAGCCTGCAAGAAATTTGTATCCTGCTCTGGGACAGCTGGGCTGTAGCAGCACAACTGCTCTAGCATCAACACGCATCTCACCCGGCAGAGGAAGGACTGATTACATCCATGTTAATGAACCTCTTCTCTAACCCACCCAGAGTAGGTGGTGGTAATGGATGATAATTTGAATGAGAGCCAGACTTTAATTTTCCATATGGCTGAGTAATAAAAGGTTGATGGAAGTATGAAGTGGAATGATCACAACCAGGGCAGTCTCCAAAGGGTAAATTTTCCCAAATCTGTGACTTACGAGGTGCCAATAGCAGCCAGAGACCCCAGGGGGATGTTGGTAGCAGGCTTCTGGAGATCTCCACTCATATTGAACCCAGCCATCACACCTGTATTTTATAGACATAAATGCAATTTAGAGTTAATCCAAGTTATAGCATATATAATACATATTATAATATGCAATGTAATTTAATCAATCAGTTAATTGATTGCTTCAGAACAGTAACTACATCGCTTCATTGCACTTCAAGACACACAAATACTGGCTCCCATTGATTGCTTGGTAAGAAACTGTTCATGTCTTTAATAGAAGCAAGCCACCACTAACATGTCTACAAAAAACCCTTTGTCCAGTTTGAACAATGCTGGGGGGGGAGAAAAAAAAAAAAGCAGAAATCTGAACAAAACCCATCTCATCTTAATGCAAACCTCACAGAAGACAGTGTTGTCCAATTGTTGGAAAGAAAAATGCTACCGTTTGTCACAGCAGTGCATTCAGCAGGTGGTACTACTACAGGTCTCTGCATTCATAGGGAACAACTGCCGTTACAAAATGCCTGGCCTGTCCCTGTTTAATGACAATCACATGAGCATTTAGCAGAGGGAATGACAGTGCTCAGCACGTAGGTGGCATCTTCCAGCCAAGGGATCTGCTTTGGAAGTGGGCATTATCTCTACTTTGCAGATAGGAAAACAGAAGCACTGAGAGGGCAAGTGATTGTCCCAGTGTCTCATGGAAAACGCATGGCAGGATTAAGAATAAAATACTAAACTATTATTTTAGGTCAGAGTACAGGTTATTGTACAATCAGGGACAGTCTCTAGCCTAAAAAATTACCATCTAAAGATTCAAGAAAGGGAAACATGATGGAGCAAAGGATTACAGTCTCCACACTGAGTCTAGGATCCCAAGGTACAAACTGGTTAAGAGGCTTTTCCCATAGCTGAAGGAGGAGTCATACCAGACTTGGCAAGAAAACACAACTTCTCCTGTCACATTATCCCAAAACTTTTCCTAGAAGACTTCAGATATCTGCTATAAATTAAAAAAAAAAAAAAAAAAAAAAATCTGTGATTTAGAATCCTGAGGAGAATTTGGAGAGTTTGGAGGCAGGACAGAAGAGCCCCTTTAAGATGCTAACCTCTGCCTGTCACTGTCCCACCCCTCAGATGTCAGGTTAACATCTTCATAAGGACACGCAGGCCGGGTGCCAGCCAGCAGCGCTCCCGGGACGGTCCCTGGGAGCCGCAGTGAGATCACCCCGGAACAACAATGAGGAGGAGGACGCCAATGCCACAGCGCTCGCAGCATCTGCCAGCCCCAGCAGCGGGGGACCGACTGTGGGTCGGTCTGCCACTCGGCTGCCAAGTACAGCAGTCATTCCTCATTTTCAGGAGGCACCAGAAGGACAAAGTCAGTCTCTGAGGCTGCAAACCTGAGTGACTACAGCTCTGAATCGGCGACAACCCGTTGCATTTTAAAGCTCAAGCATTGACTGCTGCTTGGGAGGGTTTTCTCCCAAAACAATGAGTAGACAGGAGCCGTGGGACAAATCCCAGTGTAAAGGGGATAATCCCAGCTCAGAAGTTGGATGTGTTCCCTACAGACCAGGCATAGCCAACGATGGACTGCCAAAAGAGAGCAACGGTTGGGTTGCTAATCGAGGAACAGGGAATCATCTCCCTGCTCTGTCCCAGGCTTTGCTGTGCACCTTCATAGCTCCATCTCCCTGTCAGCTCAATGGGAACTGTTAACACTTCCTCTCCTCGCTGTGCTGCTGTGAGAATAGCACATTAACAAGCACAAGGCACTCACATGTTGCCAAACATATCAGCTAAGCACCCAGGTCTTTATTTATTTATTATTAATATGTTTTCCTTGATCATCCTTTTTTTCCCCTTGATCATTCCATTCAGCAGCCATCTTTTTCTGTCCTGCTTTCCACCATGGAGCCAGAGCCCCAACAGCCGTTCCCCAGTCCCCATGGGCTCCCGGCACTCCTCAGCTCCTGGAAGAGCTGTCCTCCAGATTCAGACCAGATCTGAATCCTTGACACCATACTGAAAACATTACAAATCAAAAATTTTCTCCTGAAAGCCTATTCAGTGGATGTACTTCTGAACAGCACTATTAAAAGCCCATCAACTAGTGGGCTTTTCCCGAGATAAAGCTTTCAAGCACTATTCAAGCACTGCTTCTTTTAAACAGCTATGCAATAGTCTTAGCTGGAGGTGAGAAAAGTCAAGAAGGCAGAAGCCCATGGAAGTGGTCAAAAACATCATGCTAAATGAAATCTCTATGAAGCACTCTTCAGTGACACGCTACTTTGCAATTCAGGGGCAAAGCAGAAAGCTGAATTTTTCTTCCAAAGGGAGTAAACTATTGTCAGAAGGACAGCTGTTAATCTCATGTGCCTTCTGGCCAAGTTTCCCAAACATCTGGCACCACCTCTAAATCTTCCAGCTTGAGTTTGACTCACCTCTTCCTCATCCAAACTCCTGCCTCAGCAAAGCACTGGGGAAACACCAAAATGGTGTTTTCTGGGCTGAATATGAAAAAAGTTGAAGACACGTGAGTCATCGGCGCAGCAATGACTGCACAGCCTAGGCCACCTCATTGCCTCCCTCCCACAGACCCATGCCTATTCAGGAGCAGCCAGGAGATGACCTGCCAGAACCCACATAAACAGGATCTTGAGATCAATGACTGACCCCCTGCCCAGCAGAGACTAGGGGTCAGACCCAGACCAGTGCACACCATTAGCTTCTGTCACGACTCCCAGGAGGTCAGCAGAGTCTCAGGGCTTCCACTGACAAAAGCCAAGGCCACCGCAGAGGAAACCAACACAGATATTCTCAGCCACTCAGGCCAAAGCCATCTCTTCCATGCTGCAATTATGCCTCTGACCTGACTAGTAGAAAAATATAGACACTCTGGTAGGACAGATGTATGGACAATGCCAAAGCCAGTTCTCCACCACCACCCAAAACGTAATTTCCCAGACAGGATGACAGCTGCCAAAGAGCAGCACTAACAAGTTCTTTTGTGAGCACCAGACTAAGCACCCCACTTTTCAATGAAAGGACAACCTGATTAATTTTCAAAAAATCCCTAAAGAATCTCCACCATCCATAGCCTCAGGCACACCCTGCCAGACAACTGGTCTGACTTGCGAGTAGCCACACACAGCCTTTATAGAGACCCTAGCTACTCAACAGAAGAAAACCCCTACACTTGCATACAAAATTCAACAACATAGAGAAATTGGGACGTTTCTTCCTCTAGACACAGACCTGTCCCTAGGGAAATGGCCAATCCCTTCTGAACTCAAGCAGACATATCTGCAGATTGTCCGTGGAGAAAATTATCCACCTCTCTGTTTCAACGAGATAGCGGGCTGGATTTTCCACAGTGGCTATTATCTCAAAAAGCAGCAGATAATGACAAAGCTTCTGGACAAGGAAGCATGAAAACATGGTCAACTCGGCCAGGAAATTATGGCTGAGACAGTCTGTACATTGCTGCTATTCCCAGCATAATCCTGTCCTGGGCATCATCCAGGCAGTGGATACGTGCATGAGGGGACCACCTACATTGTACGTTAGACACAACCATCAGCTCCACCAGCTCTGGCTTCTAATTCCACCAGCTATGGTTTATAACTGTAGATATGACTGCTTGCAAACACCCATTGCATTTTCCAGTAAATTTACTATGAAATATAAAAGGTTTTTTTCTTCCTTCACCCGAGAGATGAAGAATGGAAAATCTTAGATAAGAATTGCAGCTAGTTTTTTAAAAGGGCCAAATTCTCCACTGATGTAAGCTGGCACCTCTCCACAGACTTCAATGGAGTTGTGCCAGTTTACATCATCTGATAACTTAGCCCAAAACTTCTAAATCTATTTGCTGTCATTTTGCAAGTGCCAAATATGGTTTATTTCAGAACTGGTTTCAGTATGATGATATTTTCCACTAACACCGCTTCAAACGTTGTCTTACTTTCTTGTATCACATGATAACACACTTCTTTCATTAGATAGAAACCTTGGGGATTTAGTAGAAAAAGAAAAACATTCTCTGCATAACAGAAACAATGTTTAGCTTCATTTTAAAAATACATCGATGTTTGCATGGCTGCTGCTAGGAGCTGAACGTGGGCAGGTAGCTCCCGAGACTCCGTCCCAGTGCAAAGCCCTGATTAGATGTGTATCTGGGTGTTTGTGTGTCACGTTGTGGCAGCAAAACATGTGCGTTAAGAAGGTATTTACAAAGACAGATAAAAACATCTGTTTAATGCAGAGAATCTCTATAGGGGTATGTTCACATCTTCCGTAGCAAGCATGTCAGTCTTTTTGATTGAAGCTGGGAAATCCGAGTCCTCCATGCCCATGCACTCCCACTTAGGCTAGCTCTAGATGTATGTTTTGGATCACTCAGCTACTTCTCTATTATTAAATGACAAACTTGGAGGAATAAAGCCAGCTGCACTGCACATCCAGCTGAAATGGTTTAAACAGTTATTACCCGGGAAGCAAACGGACCAGCTTCTGCTTACCACCACTCAACCGTAAAACCAGGATAACTTCACTTGTGTTACTGGAGTTGTACCAATAAAATACAGAGAAACAGAGAAAACAACCTGACCTGGAGCAAAACAATCCAAGGAGGATGCTCATAGGAGGCAGCATGTCACTACTGGTCTATGAAAGGCTGGGACGGCCATCCCATCCCTTCCAGCCGAAGTACCCAGCTGCTCCTCCTGCTCATTTGGTAACAGCAAGGGTCTCCCCACAGGTCCTGCTCCCTTTCCCTGAAATGGTCACCCCTCTTTGCTTTTATAGCTACCAGCCTGTATTTCTGAAGTTTCCATTTCACTGTTATTTCTGGTGGAAATGGACAACTTAAAACCACTTTTCAGTACAAACCAGAGCCAAACTTAAACCAGCTTAATTCAGATAACCATTTCAGAGGGAGAGGAAAGATCTTATCCTGACGAGTTCAAAATAGTTTCACTTCAAAGAGGAACATTTAATCTCAGAAAGGCCCAAACATCTTGTTTCACAATTTCCTAAACATTTTTTTTAAAAAACTTTGTTATCAAAAGAGCATCTTAGATTGTAAACTAGCATATGCTAAAAATTAAAAAGAGTAAACAGAACATTTAATAATTAAAGATAAACAGAACATTGTTTTGGGTCAAAAAAAATGTTTCAAACTGGCTTTAAGTAACCCCTCAAAACTAAACAACATACTGTTTCGCTGAAACCTTTGGCAAATTTATTTTGCATCTTAACGCAAAGGATTCTGCTTCCAGCGCTTTAGCTTGGTCACTGCAGGGGTTCCAGCGGAGGTGGGTACCACTCAGGGATGGTGCTGGACAGGAGCAGCAGCACAGGCTGGAGGTGACAGCCTGGGAGTGACGTTCATGTGTCCCTGCCACTCCTTTTCATGCGGAGGTGCTGGGGACTGACGCTGCTGCTTGCTCGCAATCGGCATCGCGCTGCCTGCCCTGCATCAGAGGTGCTGGCAATCCATCACATCTCTCCAGCCTGCTACTAATGACGCTGCCAAGCCCACCCCTGAAATGCCATCTCTGATCTCGCAGACCGCCTGTCCTGCTAATGGGCTCGGGTTGCTCCCAAGCAGTGACCACCAAGCGCTGGGAAGCAGCTCTGCTCCAGCACGTGGGTCCCCTCTGCAGCCCTAGCATCACACCCCCAGCGTGAGGGGAAGAGGCAAGCCAAGCCAGCGTGGGTCAGGCAGGACGTGGGGAACCAGCCTTCACTCATTACCCCAGCCCTAGGAGATGGGAGATGTATTCCCAGCACTTCTGAAGTTGCTCTGGGCTCCCCATTTGTGATCTGCAGCAGAGAAGTCTTGACTCCCAGCCTAAAGATTTCTTAATTAGATTACAAGTTCTTCCATGCAGAGCACCGAACACAACCCTACGTATTAAGAGGTTCTTGAACTCCACAGTGCTACAAATAGCAGTAACAGGAGCAATAGTGATGTTAGACGTACCACTGGCACCACTACACTGAAGGAATAATTTAAATCCTGTAAATAACCAAGCAATTAAAAAGAATGCATGAAAAAGCTGTGCAGCAACCAAAGTAATTATACATCAGCCCAAACTGTATTTTCAGAGAATGTTTAACATTACTACTAGTATTACTACTGCTAACTAACAAAGCAACGGGCTGCCAGGGCTTTAAATAAATTATATCTATTAGCTTTGGCCTTCTTCCTAGCAGCCAAACATTAGCAGTGATGAAGAACCATTTAATATGGCTAATCGCGGTAATTTTCTGCACAGCTCTGTCATAAATATTCCTTCTTCTATAAACAAGGAGCTGGAAAAAACTGCTCTCATGCCTCAGAGGCAGGGCTATTGAGGAAGGTCTCTTTATTCGGCTGGGGTCCTGGGGCCAGGCAGAAATGACAGAGGACAGAAGCCAACTTCTCCATGGTGCTGATAGCTCAGGCAGGTGAGTTTTCCAGGAAGAAGTCTACATGGAGGCAATAGCCACCCTGAAAAACTGGGAGAGAGGGTGTCAAAGGAAAATTTGAAGTCCTGCACTAAGTGAACCTGATAAAGTGATGACCTGCTATCAGGCCATTCCTCCAGTCCCATTTGTTTCACAAAACCCTTCAGTTTGCCTCCCTGTACCACAGCAATTCTGCGAACAACTTCCAGCAAGTTGCTTAGAGCTAATCCTCTGAAAATTCATTCTGTAATCCAAGGATTCATCACTATGGAAACTGCTTATAATTGGTACTTTTTATAGCTTAAAAAACCCAGCGTCAACAAAAGGTATTGTAACTCCAATTGATAGTTATTTCGCTCCCAATGGAGACCGCCAGCTTTGGAAAGGGGACATGGATATTCCTGGCAATTTAAGGGAATGAGTAATATGAAAGCATCCAATTAAGCTCATAAACATGAGCTCTGCTGACATGCAAAGATGCATCCATGACACTGTGCACAGAGTGGTCGGTCAGCATCATGAGCGACAGCATCAGCCCAGCTTGGCTACCCGCCTGCGGTAAGGAGGGAGGGAAAGCCCTCCTGTGCTCTTCCCACCCTCCCGATGCAATCAAGTCACAAGGCTTATCTAATAAGATAAATCATGACTGGCATTTTTAAAAAGGCTTGATACCTTGTGGTCTGACAGTATTGGCCAAGATCAGCACCTGAGCCTTGTCCTTGGCAGGGAGGGATTTACACCACCACATCAACCCAGAGAGTTGACCAGCAGTTTCTGACTACAGAGAGACAGAAGAGCACATTCAAGTGAACAGGACAGGAGTGTGCAAAATCTGAGATGCTGGAGGAAAGCCTGAATATTTTGAATCAACCACATGAGTCTGCTACAGCTGAGTACGGTCCCAATCGCCTTGCCTTGCAGCCCAGAGGAACTCCCCTTGCTTCTGCTCATCTTCAAGATGTGACTGTGAAGGGAAAGAGGGGGAGATTAAAACTTGACTGTACCTGTGGCAGCTGGGAAAAACACTCCAAAAACAGTGAAGAAGGACTCCCCCTGGCTGTAGTCTGGCAGCGTATTGTTGAACATAAGCTCTTCGGAGTAGCCCACGAAGCCATGCTCTGCAAAGACACGGAGGGCAAGAGGAGAACCTCGGAAACCACGGGAACTGCAAGAGACCCTCCAGCCTGCTCTCTGCAACCAGCCATTCTCTAAACATGTGCAACAGCAGCGGCTGTTTCCAGGATGAATGTCAACTTGTTTGGTGGAGGGGAGAAGGCAGAGAAGAGGTCAGTGTGGTTACAAGGATGCAAACGCCAGGGAAAGGTGCAGCGGTGCAGGCCAGCACACTGAGAGGCACCACCAGGCTGGGTGGCTCTTGCCAAGCCAGAACATGGATTGTATCAAGTCCTATCTGCAAAGAAGCTGAGCATTTTCCTGTAAAACCTGTCCACAGAGAACGACTGGCTGCAAGGATCAGCTAATATTGACACTTATGTATCCACACCACTATAATCCTCTTTCCAAAGAGAGCAAAATTATGCTGCCATGACAAGTGCATCCCTGAGCAAACCCTCACACCGTATCCCAGTTCTGTGTTTCTGCCAGTCAAGCTCCTGCACAGACCAGACCTGAGCTGTGCCCATGCTGTGAAGCTGCTACCAACACATCCAGTTTATACCCTGGTTGCCAATGAGCCTACAGCCAATAAAGTCTGTTTGTTGCAGGGTGGTCTCTCCCCTACAAGATGGGTTTTCCAGTGGAGAAGAATAAGGTGCTCTAAAACTGCCCACTGCTCTCTGACACCGTGTTGTACACTTACCTTCCTGATGCCATTGCTCTCCTGCTGTTGTGTTACCTCCATACCAAGGCTAAACATGGGTCTGTGCATCACAACCAGCTGGCCCCCTCCCAAATCTCCTGCAGATGTTTATCACTTACCCAGCAAGGAGCAAATGCCGAGACCTTGGGATATGCCCTGCTTCCCACACCAGCTTCTGCCAAGTTTCTCCAAGGTCATACACACAGAAATTTTACTTTCCAAACAAAATGTTTTATAGAAGATGGGAGAGAGGGGAAAGCAATGGGTAGGATAACAACCTCGTGCAACTGGTTTAGTGGGTATGTAATGGAGTATCCTGCTGCATCACTTCACATGGGAGAGACAGGTCAAATTCTTCCATAAACCTAGATTTGTTAGGAATAGTCGAGCCCAAAAGCTGACATGCCAGTAGGGCATTAATTAGGAAAGGTTTTAGATGCTTATATGTAGAAAAGATAACTCATGAAAGCAAGTTAAAGAAATAATGATACGTCTATGAAGTTAATAATTTAATTTTCAACAGGTTTTTAATGGAGTATCTTATTCTGTGGAAATTTCTCCTCCCTGTCAGCCATCCAAATGCTCATGCCAACTGGGAGTAGGAGGTGAGCAAAGCCAGTTACTTTTTTGCTCCTGTCACTACAACCTATTTCAACAAGACATGTGACTGCAATAACTTGAATTTTCTCATTAGCAGGCAGGATGTTGTTTATAGCTGCACAGGGTGATGCCCAGAAATGTAAAAAAGATTCCACCAAAGCTGTCCCATGCCTCAAAGACAATTTTAATGATGCTTGGACAATAGATTAAACTGGAAAATTAAATCAGAACTCTGAATGCAAGACATATTCATTTAAAGTCTCAGAATATAACTAACCACACAGCTTTGAAGTTACCACAGAAAAATCCTATAGATAATCAAAAGTTTCCTACTACATCTGCATTCATTGTGTTGCACAAACACGGATGGAAACACACTGATAGAAAAGGTCTCCTGCTGCTAGGCATTTTAAAAGCACCAGCTATCTTCACTAGGAACAAGTCCCAGACAAGATTTAAGTGGAATAAGCTCGGTGCAGCACACTGACCTCTGGACCTCACGGGTGTCTGCAGAAAGTGCAGCTTCTGGAGGAATAAAGGGGGGATTTGTGCAGGCTGTAGGTTCCCGCGAGACCAGACCTGAGCTCCTTCAACTGGAATTCATGCCCACAACAGCACAGCACATGGGCTGGCTGCAAAGCTCCCACCAAACCAATCAAGGAAAATTTCAGTCCCTGGCCAAGGGATTTTTCACAAAGTATGTGCTCCACATAGAAATGTTAATGCTTCATTAGTAAAACAAAAGGGGTGGGCAAAATAGTCATCTTGCCCCAAGGAGATCTGCAGACCTTCTCCAACCTGTGCTTTTCAGCAGCCCCAATTATATCTATGTCACTCCTGACAAAAGTTTGCCCCACCAACTCTCAAAAATCTCCTGTGAGGCCTCTCTTGGTGGTTTGCTCTCATATTTTCCTGTCATTATCATTTAGGCTTCCCCCACTGTCTAACCAAAATCACCTTGTTTGAAGTTCATACCGACATTTCTTGCCTGATCTGTAAGTTATTTGCATTTTTTAATGCCATTGTTTTAGCCATTGGAAACAGTCCCCATCCTGCACTGGCACAGTCAACGGTTTCTGCCAGGCTGTAAAACTTTACGTTTGTCAACATCAAACCACAAGTTGTCTTTTTTGTGCCACTTTCCCAGTTTGTGTGAGGTCATCTGGAAGCCTGACCCTCTCAGCCATGCTGCTTCAAGCCCTTCCCAGCTGAGGGTCATCTGCAAATTGAATCTGCATATTCTTTTTTCCATCATCCAAGCAGTTAAGGAAAATACCAAATAACACCAAACCAAAATCAGACCCTTGCAGAACCTCAGTAGGCACAGTGTCCTGCTTTGCAAGTGAACCATCTCCAGCTGGGTTCTTTGGCTATATAGTTCGATGATGGGCTGATCCAGGAACTTTGGATGCCTTATGCCTCCTTTCTCATACAAAAGGCCAAGTATACAACCAGACTACATTTTCTTTGATACCATTTTGGCCATACCATGGCCAAAGAAAGACCATAAAACCCATGAGACCAATGTCTAACCTACACTTGCATGCATCTAACCCCCATTAATCTTAAAAAGCCAAACTATCCCTTGGTGCTCCATCCACTTGTCTGCTGTTCCCTTTCCTACTTTATACCCCTAAGTGTAAATCCTGGGTGGAAGAAACAAAGCCCAAAACTGTGGCAGATGTCACTGGAACCACAGAAAATGACAGCTGTGGATTTGTTGAAAGAGCCACAGGATGCACCTACGACTCCATCCCACTTCTGCTTCCTTTCCTCACGGCTATGGCAGGAGAGAGGAAGCCCAGCCATTCCACATTTCCCCTTTATACATTACCAGGAGCTTTCTTGTCTAATTAAAGAAAAGTTCATCCAAACATTACTTGTTATTGCAACCTCATTTCTCAGTCAATCACCCTCCCGTGAAGCAAATCTCACGTCCCTTTTGATCCATTTTACACCAGGATTTGCAATTGCCATCAATTTAAGCAAACTATCGGCACGCGTCCGCGGAGCTGAGAACAACATGCTGTGAGCATCTCCTTGCTGCCCTCATGCCTGCGACCGGAGCGAGTCATCTGTGACCTTTCAGCTGTCATATTAATGGGACTAATTGTAGCTGACGGGGCAATTGGGCTGAAAATCATCCAAAACAAAACAGGAATCAGCAACTGAGACCAATCGGTTAAACCAACAGAGCACTCGGTCGGTTGTTCACAGAGTCAATTATCCACATCCCATTGAAAGTGCACTTCAAAAGGACAAGCTTCGGAAGGAGGAGGGAAGGAAACGTGATAGGGTCTATATTTGGCTCTCTGATCTCCAAACAAGGCAAGTTTGGGGGTTTTTTGTTGTTTTTTTTTTTTTTTTTTTTTTTTTGTAAGAGGATCTTTTCTTCCTCCAGCTTACTCCTGGGTACAAGATCCAGTCCAGATTCCTCCCTCATCACTCATTACAAAATATTAGTCTGACACATTTTGCCCTCAATTAATTTATGCAACCCCCCAGCCTCTAAATCCTGCCTTTAATGATCCTGCTCTCAGTTGGCTTGCAGAGCACCGGAGCTGAAGCACTATAAACAATCTTCCCGGTGTCCTGCTAGAAGGAAAAGAATCGGTTCCTTCTCTGTGCCATGTCAGCCTTATGGGAAATGCACAATAAAGAGCGGTAACAATTTATTTTCATCGTTAGATACTCAATAAGGAGCAGGCAAATAATGGGTTTCTCAAGTGGCTGAGCTGAAATAAATAAACAACAGGGAAAAAAATGACTTAGACCAATATCAATTATTCCTGTGATTTCTGACAAATTAAGTCTTTCCAGTTGTCCTTATTAAAATGATGTAATAAACAATAAAAATCACCTAGCAAGTTTCAAATGGAAGAGCTTCCAGGGTGAGCATCCTCCATCCACAAGTGCAGGAGGACCACAGGGGGCTGCACACCAGCCCAGTGCAGGCAGAGGAGGAGGAAGATGATGGCCAGGATTCTCATGTGTCCCCCGGCCACCACAGATGCTTGGGAGGAGTTTGCTTGGTTGCCACCACTGCATCCCCACTCAGCCCCAACTCGTTTCCACATTTGAGCTTTTCTTAAACTTTCTCCCACCTCTCACCCCATGGAAGAGGATGAAAGCAGACAAGGAGGATTTTGGCACTCAGGACACCCCTTAGCAGGGCGTCTCCTCCATGAAGCCTGGGGTTTCAGAGCAGGACTCAAGGAGGTTGGAGAAGGGGCACGAGGCGAAGTCGTGGTTACACGGGGTCAGGCCATTATGCAACGGCACAGAGGACGACAGCGTTGCCAAGTTCCAGGCAACCTGGAGCTCATTACAGACTAGTCAAGTCTTGGCCAAATTCAATAAGCCTGTTCACAAGCTTAAGGTTAAGTAAACCCTGGCACCGAGGCAGGGGCTAAATAATGCAAAAATGGAAAACCACCTTAAGAAACAGCTCCCAGAAGACGGTCATGTATTGCACTCTGCTTGTGATTAGAGATTTTAATTATGAAGGTGAATGCTGAAGGCTTGAAATAGTGAGATTTTTTTCTTTTCCTAAATAAGTAAGCCCACACATTCCCGCCTGGAAGGTACTTGCTGAGATTTGCTTTCAGAGGAACAGCTGGAAGTGTTTGTCTTGCAGCACATTTCCCAGGTCTGACCCCAGCATTTTCAGGATCCTGTGTGATGTAAAACATGGAGAGC